TCTAACATTCTGTGATTCTGTGATACAAGGGAGCAGCAGTGGGAGCTGGGTAAGTGAGCTCAACTGTGAACTGCAGATGAAGAACCCTGCTCGCAAGGCTTCTCCAGGCTGTGCTAATGACATTTGGCTTACTCCAGCACACTGCTCTTCTCACACCCACACCACTGTACCGGAATAGCAGCCAGAGGAATCCGCCCCCCCCATGCGTTTTAGCTTTGGGCAGTGATACACGCCTGTGACCAGAATGGAAGCTGCTATTGTTTTGGATTTCTGACTCCATAAAAGGAATGTTATTGTTTCACTTACTTTTTTCCAAGTCCCCAAAGAGTTGTTCTTATGACCACTAGTTTCAGCAAATTTTCTTCAAAACTAAACCAGCAGTTTTCCAGCTTACCAGGTTTTGTGCCTTTTCACAGAACTCTGATGGAAGTGACAGATCAACAGGTCGATCCATGAAACAGTGGAGTTTCCATTCCATGCACCATGAGATACCGATATAAAAAGGCATCTCGTTGATGTAAATACACAGGAAAAAATGCCCTCAACACAGTGACAGAGGTTGAGACCCCTATACATATGTAAGCCTTCTGTTTAGTCCAGCAGTTTAGTGAAATAAACACAAAACAGTTAGCTCTTCAAGAGCATCAGTGCTTCATTAACATTTGCAAAGCGCTTTGAGGCCTAAGGGAGAGGCTCCAGCACAGTTACAAACAGGGAAGGAAATCTCTAGCCACATAAAACTCCTAGACTATGCACAGATTTGGTTTCCCCTTACAAACCTTCCCTGCCACACTTAAAGGTGCTCTTTCCAAGCAATTTGAACACTCTTCTGGAATGTTACGAGTCTTGTCGAGGGCTTGGGATCCATGCTAGGGCTGACCTAGAAATTCAACTTAAGCTCCAGACAGGACATTCAGAAAAGCCAATTCAAATGCAGGCAGCATTCCTCATTAACACAGGAAAAGCAAGCTGGAAAAGATTCCAGGTGCTGCTCTTTGCAGCTGATTGCTTGCTCCGATGTAAATGGAGGGGGAAAAGCCACAGTAAAAGTCTTGAAGGTGGCATGGAGGTATTAGGCCTTTGCATACAGAGCTTGTTGCTGGAGTGACCAGGCCTTTAGAACGTGAAAGCCACAGCTAAAGAGAAATCGAAATCTTGGTCCTTTTCCACATCATAAGATTTTCTTAAGAAAACTGAGAAAAAACTTTGTTTTCTTCTCCAGACCTCCACTAACCCTCTTTTTAGCTGTTAAAACTATTTTCAGAAATACCTATAGAGGCCAAGAAGCTTTCCTGGAGGAGAATTCAATACTCCTTTGCAGAGGTGGTCACTCGCAAGCTGGCCTTGGTTCACAGGGACAAAAAAGTAACAGACTACCAAAGCAAAAAGGTCATCTCACTGCATTTGCACATAATCTGCACTTCACCTCCGAATAACCAAGTCAGCTGTATTTTATCTGATATGCTGTGTAGGCAACCAGCTCTAGGTGGCACCGCTTGAGCTGAGAAGCTGGACAAGACAACACCCAGAGATCCCTTCCAACCTCAACCATTCTGGAATTCTGTGATTCTGTACCAGTTATTCATACAGCTCATATTTTGAAATCTTTCTATGTTACTGAAGTTATCTGTACAGCTAATCTTTTAATGAAGGTGGACAAGTATTCTAGAAAATAGGGAGCAAAAATTAAATAATCAAAAATTTTTTTTGTATCATCTGGATGAGCAGTATGTAACTTTTTCAAGGGCAAAGGACCACTCCAAAGGCTACATGTCACAAAGGTTCCCAGCTTTAAGGATTTCCTATATAAGGTCATGTTTCTCTATGAACCTTGACTTGGATTGTGACACAAAACTACTGAAGGAACTCTGATAAAAGATATTACCAAGATCCCAACACTACTGGCAAGGACTCTGCTAAAATCAGTCCCGTGCTCAATATTCTCCAGCATTTTTCCTTCTAAAGTTGGTCCATTTTTCTAGAGTCTTACAATGTTGTCAAGCCTTCTGCCTCTTGTGTGTAATTTGGCCATTTAATACCTATCTGACCACAAGTAAGTCTGGGATGCTCCTCAAGGCTTTCATTTGAATAAATTTGTAATGCGTCGGTTACTTGTTGGTAGCCAGTGAAAAGTATGTATGACTGGTTTCTTATCAGATCACAAGAGCTAGTTACATTTTCTGAAGCTATTACAGTCCCGGCGTTGATTTCAAGACAGCCAGGAAAAAATTAGTGTTGCCTAGTAGTCTAGATACAAATCAGCAGTCTTGTAAAATTACTTACATTGTTTTCTTGATTCCTGTTATTTTGAAGAAGTGTGATGACACAATTGTGGATGAAGAAGGCAAGTGTCAGAACCCCTGTGAGCTGAGGGAACAGAATTCTAAATTCTAAGGGAGGAAAAAAAGTATTAGTAACTTCTTTGAAACAAACAATGCCAAAATGGAGAGGCCATACACTGCTGTGGAGTCTACTGGCAGGAACATGAACCTCCATGTTGAAACAGGAGTCTATGTTGTCTTTGACCATAGCCAATGCAGATATTTAATCAGGAAGTACAAAATACATTAAGACAGTGTCTACTATAACATACACTCCAGCAAATTTTCTCAAGAGACCCTAACCATGAAAGATTAGTTTAATCTAGGATTTACATATACAAGCTTCTTCTGCTTTTCAACAGTTTAACTGGAAAGCATTTCAAGGCAGGACATGATTTCAGTGAGGCTGTGTATCTATTGATCCCTGAACAGGGAGATGGGGGAAAGAATCAGTTGCTCTGTGAGCATCTTTCATTATTAAGAAGTCACTTATACTACCAGAGGAAAAACGGCATCTGTAGATGTTTAAGAGACTCCGCTTACAAACCGGAACACAAAGGCAGAGCAGTGTCTTGTCTTATTGTACACTTTACAGCACCTATGAAAAATTTTTTTGATAGTTTTTTTGGTCTCGATGGGAATAGCAGTGCTCTGCTTCTTTTAATATTTGAAGGATTATGTTCACAAGATTGTGTTTCTGGAAGCACTGCAACTGGTCAAGGAACTCACCAATGTGTAACATCATTAAAGCACCATCTTTGTTGGTATTATATAAGGATATATGAACTCTTTAGAGTGTTAACAGCAATTAAGAGATCCCTGAGCTAGCTCAGCTTCTGGAAAAGATCCAGCAATATAGCAACTCATCTGAGGTTCACAAACCCTTACAGATCAAACCACAGAGAACTCCATGCAAACATACTTAAACCAGATTTCTCATAAAGTGCTCTGAAGTCAGCAAGGTAAACACAGCCCAGGCAATTAATGAAGGGCTCATCCAAGTTGAGAGAATATGTCTTCCCTAGGGCTGGATTCACTGCACCTTCAATACCTAACTAACAGGACGTGCCACTCATAGAATTGCGAGTGCAAGCGACTTTTGGGCTTGTTTTACATTCACTACTTTAATCTCAATAATAAAAATCAAACTGATGGATTCAGAATCTCTTTCAGCACTGCATTTTCCCCCATCAATACATCAGTAGTAGCTGGATTTATATGCATCAGCTACCTGCTTTGTCTATCTCCTAGCAGTACTAGTTGCATTGCCAAAATTATAAAACTACCGGGTGCTCCACTTCTTAGTGACCTGCAACACACTTGCTGTGCTGCAACTCATTTCATGCTAGGACTGCTTAATAAATCTTGGACTTGAACTTCAAGATGCTTAAAACCTGATTTCTTAAACATAGGCTCGTTTCTGGTTTACATGGGATTGTTAGTGAACCATAGTTTGGGCAACTTTTCTCCTGCGCTCTCAGGAAGTGTCTGTAGATATGAGGCTATGTGAGCATTTGAAGACTGTCTGCTGGGGCAGTTCAGGTTAAAACCATGTATCTATGCTCTCAATAGAGCGAGACCAAACGTTGTGGTCTACTTACTGAGCAGGACATGCTTGAGTATCATTTCTACTTACAGATAACACTAAGAATAATGCCACACAAAATATATTAGGTCATTAATGCAGATGCTAATGATCCAGTACTCTGAAATCCAAATTTCTACACTGGAGACAAAAGCAGTTTGTTAGTTCAAAAATTCTGCCTAAAAGTAAATGCAGTGATGGAGCAAAACAGGTAGCATAAATAGCACTGTTTCAGAACTACCTACCTCTATCTGTAAGTTGTACTTATGCTGCAGTAGTCAGGAGGATTCCTAGGGAATTACAATGGTAATCCCATTCATCCTCAAACCATCTGCTTTGTTTTTGCACACAGTCATGCACAGTGAAAACTGCCTGGCTTTAAAGACTCAGGCAGAAAGGGCAATGACTTTTTTTTTCTTAGTGACATAACCAAGATGAAGAAACTGTTTTATGTAGCCTTACACTTGCTTCATGTCATTCAGATCTTGAAATAGGGTTCTGAATGCCAGTCTGAGATGAAGAAGGAATGACCTTCATCAGTTATGGAAAAACGAAGATTTGATGATGGCTAGGGGCTGGAAAGTGGAGAAGGGGAATACTGGGTTTTCAGCAGACCTCTTTGCCAAATGTACATGGAATACGCTAGCTAAGCTGTTTATTCTCCTTACTGTTGTGCCAGATCAATTTCAGTCCAACTGTTTGCCACAGTGCATTGCCATGAGTGCACAAATTAGATCAGATTCTATTAGAAACATGCAACAACTCTGTTGTTTCTTTTTTTGATCTATATCTTGCTACAGTAATTCAAAACCCATCCTAATGTTTTAAGTTATCTTTGTTTTCTTCTCCAATTTGACATTATCAGACATAACAATAGTTTGCAACCCATGTATAAAACTGTTAGTACAGTGCTTATTGTGAGTGGGAAAACAGAAATGCACAAACCCACAAAAGAAACCCTAAGAAGGTGCATATCTGAATTTTGCCTTAAGTAAATAAGTAACTTTTAAAGACCGACAAAACTCTTGTTTCTAAGAGCAGAAGGAGTGATACAATTAAATAGTACAGGACACAGATCCTTGGAGCCAACTGGTCATGGGGAAAAAACAGCTAAGACCTAACCCCAGATCTCTCATTCCAGGCCTCCTAAAACAAGAAACTGATCTCTTTAGAGTATCTATCTGTTCATGTAGTATCACTGCTTGTGACTGTGACATCTCACACAGTCATTTGCAACAGCAATTTGGAAAGAACTAACAGCCACCAAAACAACATTCAAGAAATAAACATACTGGAGAGCTAACAGGTGTTTAAAAAATACGAGCTAAGATTATGGACTAAAACCCGAGATAGATTGCAAAGTACAGGAGAATTAAAGTAACACAGTAAATTGTGGTGAATGAGCTATTTCATTTAAGCAAGACAGTGCGTGGAGAACTTACGGCACCTTTACCAGTCTGTCTACAGTTTGTAATTTGTAACTGCTACTGCAATAGGCATGATCTGAAAATGGTGCAGCTAGAACTTATTACAATATAGTTGAAACAGGACTATGGCAAGCTCCCTGTAACACGATACACATTTGAGATACCTCTGATGGGCACTCCTCCTCCACAGTGCTGATACGGTGAACAACACTGAGAAAGGGATTCTTTGTCATTTTATCACTAAGGATCCTGCCTGAGCCTCTACACACAACATCAGACAGTATTTCCTCACTTTACTTATGTCAGAGAGATGTTAAAAGGTGAATGAGAAAGTCATTAACGAACTGCTTTAAAAAAAATCTTAAACCCATCATATATATATGCTGCATTACTGCATTTTAAGTATCTTACCTGGTACAAAAAAATCAGTCTCTGTAAACCAGTCATATTCTAAGTGGATTCCCAGATGAGCAGCCTTTACAGTAACCAGAAAAACTAAGTAGACAACTGAAACCGTACCTAGAAAAGACAAGAACCAACCAAACACTATGAAGCAGTACAAAGTATTTGTGCTGTGTTTTATTCTTGCTCCATCCAACTAGCTACCAGCAGCCCAAACACTTAGGGTTAGTATTCATTCTTAAAAATATAGGCCAGGTCTAAATCTTCTTTTATTTCTTTCATAAGTCAGAGAGAAAGAATAATGAACTTGCACCCAATTCAAGCTTTCAGCATGATTAATGTTCTCCAGACACTGCACGAGTGACAGTGGAAGACGTACCCTGTAATCCCTGGCACTGGGCAAGTAGGGAGGTCTCTGGCAGTTAACAGATTGGTTCTAACTTCAGCTGTTAGGATTCTAATCTAAGATGAGACAAAGCTGGCGACAGTACTGCAGCTATTACTATGTCCATTCAGTCTGTCCTGGTTTCGGCTGTGATAGAGCTAATTTTCCTCTTAGGAGCTAGAATAGCGCCGTGTTTCAGATTCAGCATGGGATTTGGTACAAGAAGAATGTTGATAATATACAGACATTTTTAGTTGTTGCTAAGAAATAAAGGACTTTACAACTTCCTAAGTTATACAAGTGTGCAGGTGCACAAGAAGTTGGGAGGTAACACAGGCAGAGCAATGGAACCAAGCTGGCCAGTGGGATATTCCATATCATACAATGTCGTGCTCAGTATACAGACAAGGGTTGGCCAGGAAGCTCGCTCTCTTTCTTCCAGGACTGTGGTTTTGGGTTTTTCTCTTGTCCAGGATTGCTAGCTTGGGAATGGGCTGGGCCTTGGTCAGTGCATGGTGAGCAGCTGCACTGTGTCTCACACATTTGTATATTCTATTATTACTATATTTCAACTATCAAAGTGTTCTTATATCAACCCACGAGTCTCCATACCTTTGCCCCTACAATTCTCCCATCCTTTGGAATGGGGGAGGGTGAGTGAGCAGCTGTATGGTGTTTGCCTGCCAGCTGGGTTTAAACCACAACAGTCATTAACTTTTTAAACCAAATGGCCCAATGAGATATGTAAGTCTACTGCAACTGTGAACTTTACACTGGGAGCTAGAAGCTGATAATGACATTTGACCACTACTGATTTAAACCTTGTTTTGATCATAACCTTGGATAACCTTGATCATAACACTGGATTTGCATTCCATCTCATTGGTTCATAGGCATCCAGCAATGCTCTGCACAGCTAGAGGACTACAAATAAGATCACAGATGGCTACAAATGCCTTGCTGCATCTGCATACGGGATAGAGAGCATAAAATCTTGGCTCCTGACATTTGAAAGAGATAAGGGCAGAATAATAACTACCTAAAAATTGAAGGAAACTGTGCAACAGTAATTAAGGCTACTGTGATGCAACCTCCCAGACAATAATACTGCTAATCACTAGAGAACAGGCTGTAAGTAAGTAAAGACAAAGAAACAGCATTTTTACAGTTTAGAATATAGACCCAGATAAGACTTCATTCTAGCAATATCTCCAGATAAGACTTCATTCTAGCAACATCTCCAAACTAAAAAATAAATTGAAGAAATTATCTATCATTTGATTACACAGAGTATAGTCAAGGAATTAGGAAGATAAAAAATTCTGTACTTGAGAATCAGCTTAACAGATAAAATATTCTGTAGTTTCCTAATGATTTAGGTTTCTGTAGGTGTAAAGATAAGTAAAAGTTCTCTACTAAGATTCATCTCAGCATCTCAAAAATTGTCTTCCATTTTTTCTTGTCTTACAAACGTCAAGGTTTACAAAAATTGAGGTAACTTTGAACAGCTTCCGAATTATACAATAATCTACTGAATTCATAAGAAATTTCATATTTTAAAATTTAGGTTCTCAAATAAAAAATAGTTGCCCACAATAATGTGCTTATTTTAAGAACAGATACAGTTTTGGCTAGATCTCACTTGACAAAATATCTTCTTCTCCCTGATGTTACATCTAGCCTACATAAAAACCTTACTTTTTACACAGAAACACTATCACTTGCCCAAGTTTCTGTATGGTATTTTAATTTAGTAGTTCAGCAACAGCAGATCCAAGCTCTAATTAAGTATCACATTGGAACAGAAAACAAACTAGACCCTCAGTTCCCTGTCCTTTTCCTCCTCGATCCTCATCTCCTTCTCCCTTTGTCTTCATCATGGGCTTCAATGCTATACCCTCAGATCCTTCCTACTCCATAAATTTGTGACTGATCCCATCCATCATCCATGTGCTTTATCCACTTTACCGATCCCACCTGCTTTGGTCTTCTATCAGTCACAATTTTTGTCCTTGTAGCACAGAATAGTTTGCGCAGGGAAGTTGTGGATGCCCCATCCCTGGAGGTGTTCAAGACCAGGCTGGATGAGGCTTTGAGCAACCTGGTCTAGTGGAGGGTGTCCCTGCCCATGGCGGAGGGGTTAGAACTTGGTGATCTTCAAGGTCCTTTCCAACCCAACCATTCTATGATAACAGGCCAGGGTACTGGGAGCTGGGGCAAAGCACAGCAGCAGGTTACACTGATTGGATAATGTTATAATTAATTAATCACCTGATTGGTAGCAAATTACTTCAGGTCAGAAGCAATTAATCTTTGGAAGTAACTGCCTGTGTTGAAATGTTTACCAGATGAGGAAGGGTATGCCTGACTGTTTGTGCCAAAGTAGTACGCAGCATTTGATGCACACTAGTATGTGTACCACTGTTTGGGGAAATGCGTTGTAAATATAGTGGAACTTGTCTTATAGGATTATCAGGGAAGCAAAGCGAAAAAAAATAACTCCCATATTAACTGTAAGACTCAAGCAAAGCAGGGTAGAAAGCCTATGGGTGATTAACAAACCAACCAATGAACCATTCTGAGGCACAATAACTGGCTGCCAGCAAACTACTGGAGGAGTGGCTGGAAAGCTGCCCAGCAGAAAAGGACCTGGGGGTGTTGGTCAACAGCCAGCCAAATACGAGCCAGCAGTGTGCCCAGGTGGCCAAGAAGGCCAGTGGCATCCTAGCTTGTATCAGAAACAGTGCGGTCAGCAGGACTAGATGAGTGATTGTCCCTCTGTCCTCAGCACTGGTGAGGCCACACCTCGAATACTGTGTTCAGTTTTGGGCCCCTCACTACAAGGAAGACAGTGACGTTCTGGAATGTGTCTAAAGAAGAGCAACAAAGCTGGTGAAGGGTCTAGAGAACAAGTCCTATGATAAGCAGCTGACGGAACTGGGGCTGTTTAGTCTGGAGAAAAGGAGGCTGAGGGGAGACCTTACTGTTCTCCACAACTACCTGAAAGGAAGCTGTAGCAAGGTGGGTGTTGGTCTCTTCTCCCAAGTAAGAAGTGACAGGATGAGAGGAAACGGCCCAAGCTGTACTGTGGCAGGTTTAGACTGGACATTAGGAAAAATTTCTTCACTGAAAGGGCTGTCAAGCATTGGAACATACTGCCCAGTGAAGTGGCTGTGTCACCATCCCTGAAGGTATTTAAAAGATGTGTAGACCTGGTGCTCAGGGAGAGGGTTTAGCAGTGGACTTGTCAGTGTTAGGTTCACAGTTGGACATCATTATCTTAAAGGTCTTTTCCAACCTAAATGATTCTGTGATTCTATTCTATGATTCTACTCATTGGAGTAGCTTTCACTGTTTTCTATACATTTTAGCCACAATGAACCAATGCTTTAATAGTATTTGTTACCTACCTAGGACATTAAACTTTGCAAAGAAGGATGGAGACTTCAGATTTAGCAGAGGTAGAAGAACAGCAATCAGGTAAAATGGTACTGTTTGTGATTTGTCCCACCACTCCTCGAAGAGTTCAAAGCCTGTGCTGTTGCCAGAAGAAAACATCACACTTCTGTTCTGTGGTGGGTGACCACTAGCAGCACTTGGACAAATGACTGGAAGAAAGGAAAAGAAAAATATTGCAAAATCAAAGGAGTTTTACCTGCATAGAATCTCCAAAGACAAGATCCCATAACTTCTGGAGAGTGTTTTACCTATGGAGAGTAGGACCACTCAAAAGCAATGTTTGACAGCTCAGTCACTAACTTCTATTTAGTTTTGGGGGTTTTTTTTCAGTTTTAAGATTTCACTGCTAGGCACCTTGCACTCCAAGCTGACAAGTTCTACGGTTCTTTCAGCTGAGCACAACAAAGATGCTAACTTGTCTGAAGCCTGAGCTGTGGCGTAGGATCAGCCTTTCAGGTCACATCCCTATAACTACGTGTGTTCAGTGCCTACGTGCAGCTGCTGGAATCAAGTCATAGCAATGTACCTCTGCACCTGGCTGCATATTTAGCATTGTAATCTGTCCCTGCACACCTCAATGAGATCATATGAACTGAGACACAAGTACATCTATGTATGGAAGAGCCTGTATCACTCTACGTTCTTCTGCGAATGCACAAACCAAGGATGACAAGCAAGCAACTATAACAAATGGCAGGCCTAAAACTCATGCACCGAAGCAAAACACTCTGTCATCTTGGTGCTGTGCTAGGTGCAATTACATCACTGCTAGACAATACAACAGAAGCAATTTAAGATATGCACCCATAACGCTACCAAAAGCAAAAGTTACACTCCTGTTAGGTGGTGGCTGATCCATGGCAGCACCTGACCTAAACAGGTGACTGAAACAATATCAACCAAACAAAGAGATTCCTTGATAAAAACGTGTTTATTGATTTTTCTTAATATCAGCATTTCCTTCTAACACATGCCTATGAAGTTACATGTTGAAATATGAACCTCTTATCATTCTCATAACTTCTTATTTTAAATTTTGGCACCCCACAATACTTGAAAGCCTCCCTCCTTTCAGTGACTGCATGCCTCTTCTGCTACAAAGGCAAAGGTGTAAAAAGTGTTTTGTCAAACTCCTTGAGAGATCATTGTGTTACTTTACTTCCTGTTTTCTCATTTACTTTCTCTCCATTACTTACAAGAGGATTAAAAAATGCTTTTGTTCTTACTGATCTCCTTGGTAGCCCTCAATGCCCTCTGCCAAGAGTCATTTGAGGATCTGGCAGCCCTTAATTTTGTGAAGCAGCTGTTTTAAATCTTACAGTTGCTGGAGAATACTGTGCAATATTGTTGTCTACTTTGTCTCCAAGTTATACCTCCTGCTGCATAAGAATGGGACAGAACAGCAGAAGCAGGAGAGAGCCCAAGAGAAAGAGCACTGCAGCAGCTATTGGTGCCTTGCTGGTAAGAACTGTAGGAGAAACAGGATTCAACACTAGCTGAGATGCAAAGCAACTAGTTTTCAGAATTATTTCTCAACTCCTTTGCCTGACTCCAGCAGGTGCTCTCCGGAAACACAGCTGCAGCTACTGTGACACACAGCTGTCTGGCTGGTACTGAAATGTTTCCCCATTCCCATAAGCACCCATGACAGAAAATTTTCTGCTTTGTAACAAAGTACTACATGTTCAGTTACTATATATAGGCAGAAAGATCAGAGGCTGACAATGCCTAGCTCTTGCATTCTTCCTATGTTATTCTCCCTACTTAACAACTCTGAACAGAGCTATCTCAATACTTGACTGCAATTTCTTCCCTTAGTTGTGCAAACGGCAGACTCTCCACAAAACACAATCTGCTGCCCCATGCGCTTTATTCTTTTTGCTTCAGCATCATTAAGGCCGCTCTTACAGCATTTGTTTAAATAAGAATGTTGCTGCAGAGGTGGTGAAGAGCAAAGATGCCCCAGCCAAGACTTTTTACAGTAAACAGATCTCAAGTGCCTCAATTTTAGGGTACAAAAGTTAAAATTCCTTAAGGCAATTCCTCATTGTGCAACTACTGTTAAAACCATGACTGTTAGACCTCTTAAGGAGGATCTATCTGGGTATATACAAACTTGTAATTTGCTTTTTAATCCTTACTCCCACCTACACTTTTTTTTTTTTCCCAATTAAGCTTTCCAAGTGTGTGGTTATTCGTGGAAGTACAAATCGCAGATGGAAAATTACAGTTTTTTTTAAAAACATGTAGTCAAAATTTAAGATGTACACTTTATAATTGGAACATGGTTAGGCACGGAAACACGATGATTTGCCTTTAACGTCCCCCCTTCCCCCCGCAGCCATGAAACACAGTACTAAGTGCTTCTTACCTTTGTTACTCCCATTCGTCCCAGGAACAATATCTGTTACATTAATGTCATGAACAAAGTCTGAAAAGAAGAAAATCTTACTATCAATGTCCCAAACCTGCTACTAGGCTTTTATCTGTTGACTTGATAAAAATTAAGTATGGAAACATTTTGGAAAATGACATCAGAGGTGCGATACAGCAGCTTGTGCTCCCTCCAACCCCAAATGGCTATTGTAAAACTTTTTTTTAGAAGTGTAGCCCCCAACCACACTACCTTCTCAGCAGCTCTGTCGATATATGAAGTTCCCAAGCCTACCCCCACAGGTGCTCATCCCTGTTCCCCCAGAACAGCTCCACTTGTCCCAGTTTCAGCAGGTTAGTGAGGAGATGCATCTTAAAACCAGCCTCTTCTGGGACAGGAAAAAAGTGCATGCTACCATAGCCTTAGTCCAGATGGTATTATATAGAAAAAACTTCCCCTACTCATTTTTCAATTTTTTTTTTTTTTCAGAAGAGGCTCTGTGGGATTCTTTTTCCACGTTGTAATACAAAGAAGGGAATCTCTGGAGAAATGTTTACATCTCACTGTCTACAGTCATCTCTAGTAGTACTATTGTTTAGAGTACACTCCTGTGCTATGCGACTGCTCTGCCACACCAGATACTTTTGAGTTTCTGCAGCTTCACCAGTATGAAAGTATTGGATAGCAGTTTCCTTATATTTATGTATATATACACAGAGAAAATGCCCATCAGATTGGAAATTTAATTAGTGCATCTCTGATTAAAATTTGCTTCTGCTGCATGTGGGTGTATTATGCACACAGAAAATTAACTGGGGCAGTCTCAGATTTTTTTCATGCAATTAACAGCAGCCTGTTTCTCATAAAGAAAGCAAAAAGTCTTGTGGGAAGAAAACTATTTTTTGTTTCTTCATTTTGATTTACGACATCCTGAATCACAACTGAGTTTCTCATACTTATTAACAGCAGTTCGGCGCATAAAACAATCAGAAGATTTAAATAAAATCACTTCTCACCTCCTCACTCACCATATTATGTTGCTACTTAAAAAAAACCAACAAACTAGCATAAAGCCAACAAAAGAACCAATAGCTCTTACAGAATTAGAGCACTTCAAAATTATAGACAGATAGACAACATTTCTTCCGTACTTAAAAAGTGTTTTAGGACTAGCAATTGCATTTATGGATTTATTTTTTTATAAAACAAAAACAGAACAAAAAGCATGGGACACCATGTTAAAAAACCAAAAAAGACAGGATATCACACTTGGCTTACAGTTCTTGCATTCTTTGCATACTACTAGTTTCTAGACCATCCTCCCTTATGAAATCAACTTGTTCCCACCTAAACTGTGTGTGCAGATTTTTTAAGAAGTAATCTGAATTTACTGGAATTAAATACAGTAGCCTGCCTAGAGTAACTTAGAAAAGCATGGCTGGAAGATGCCTTTGTGTCAAACCTGCATCCTATCACTCATTTGATAAGTTAGTAATTAAGTAGCCACAATGAAAGTTAGGACAAGAATCCAATTATTAAAGTTATCACAGACCAAACAACTTAAATAAGAACCCCTAACAAGTACAGGTAAGTGACGAAATAACATGCCAATCTCAGGAAAAAGCAGGACTTTTTTCCTAGAAAAGGAACTGATTTGATCATTCTGAAGTTTGCTTATTAGAATGGGAGTTACTTGGTTTAGAATAATTTAGGGTGAAAGTACTAACCTGATTTAAAAAAAAAAAAAAAAAGTCTAAAATGAAGTGGCCTTATCAACATATGAATTGTCAGCTGTAAAATACACCGGTGGTTAACCCATACAGTAAATTACATCCTTCACGGATGGTGGGAACTCTAATTAAACATTACGAGGTATAAGTGTGGTTATTTGCCTCAGAGATTTTTTAATTACCTTCAAAACAGAAACTCTTAAATCCTAGTTGTGCTATTTAACTCTATGAGTCAGATTATCAAAGGTCTCAATTCCATCATTTATTCACACAACCCTACATACCTAATTGACTGTATCCACAGAAGCTTGTGTGTCTGTGCATGTACAAGGGTATAAATAACCAATGTTTTCTTCTGTAGCACGGCCAGACTAAGAATTGTTCTTGCACTGTGCTACAGTTCATCATTCCTTCATGGATGCTTGCAAAAACTTTTTATATGGCAGCACTCTTAAGTGTGTTTGTTGAAATCTAGAATTAAACTAGATTTTTTTTCATTAACCTGGATCATCTCAACAACCTAGCCTGTTATATGGCCATTCAAATAGTTACACCCATGCAAACAACAGGGGAGTGCAAATACAAAGTGGAAACAAGCAACCAGGTTTGGGTCATTTAAACTTCACCAAGAACCCTCATTACTGACATACAAATCACATAATTGGTACTTTGTCTTTCACTAAAATCATGTTAAGAGAGACTTTGAGAAACTGGCTTTGAAATCATACCTGACTGTGCCCGTAACTCCACACACAATCACTTATCCTTACTTGACTTTTCACTCAACGTAACAGAAAAATCAAGATTCCACAAGATAGCCGTAAAGTTAACAAAAAAATATATACTTACTGTATATAAACTTTCCTGTGTTGAACAGAAAGTTGGACATAAGCACCCAATAAACAACCATGGCTCCAACAAGCGATACCATAGAAAATAAGAGGCTTGACCATTGGCCAAAAGATCCAAAGTAATATTTGCAAACATCTGGGAACTCCCAGTTCGAGGTATCTACTAAAGCTGAAGAAGATACAAAAAATAGAAACATATCTAAACAAAATGATATATTAAGAGTCATCAGAACTCTTCATGACAGGACGTGTTTTTGTTTCAGACTATTCTGACACCAATTCCCAGTGCTTCCAAAGGCTAGTAAGATTGCCGTTAACTTTAAAGTATAAACACTCATTAGGTGTTTGACTGAAAGAGCCTGAATAGAGGCTTTTATTGAGGCTGTACTACTACTCTGAGTAATTCCAGAAGCACTGGAATAAGACATGGTAGCAAAAATGCAGCCATGCATTTGCAGCTAATGCCTTTTGCAGGAGTTATGGCAAATTTGGACAGACCATGAACTAGTCCCAAACAATGCCCTGAAACGAGTTGTTACAAACTGGAGGTCTTAACTGCCTTTATTTGAGCAAGTGAGGAGTTAGTTTATACATAAGAGGATCAACTACAAGAGTTGCAAGGTGAGTTTTGAACAACAAAAGTATATTCTAAGCAGAACCACTGCCAGTGAGGCAATTTTCCATAAATTGTTTCCAACACAGAATATAGACAAATATTAGGGTAGTAGAGGCATACAACACAAGTGGATGCAGCTACCACCCACGCTGTTCCACTGTGGAACATGATCAGAAATACATGTAGAGAAATGAACAGCACTTAGGGAGAAGGGAAGCCTCTAACTCTGGAAGTCCCCAAATGCCCAGTAAATGAAGATCTGAGTTTGCATTTTTCTATAATACTTAGGTCCCAAGGAACTGAACGATAATCTAACCAGGGAAGACAGACGTTTAGCTTACAGAGCTTAAATCCAGACTACAAAAGCAGGGAGACATTCAAAGGAACAGTTTTTATTTGCAGGTCAGGTCTAACATAAAGATCCAGACAAGCTAAGAATCTATTAGATCTCTGTATTTCACACTTAATGGAAATATTTACATTATGAAGCTTTGTATTTCTTACGTATCATTTTCCGCGATTTCACAACTCTGTAGCAGCAGTAAAGAGTCAAAATGCCCATCAGTAAGATGAGAATGATTCCAGAAGTAAAGCCTGCCTGTTAAGAGGGAGAAATACAGTTTACTTTCTTTATCAATAACACTACAGAAAAATGAAGAGCAAGCCACGTTGCCAAAAGCATTTTCATACGCATGTATTTTTCATAGTTTTACCTGTTTTATTCCCCATGGAATACTTAATATAGATGTGCCCATCATTGTATTCCATATCATAAATCTACGAAGAAAAGAGAAAAGCCTGTGAATAACTTAAGAGGCACTCTACTTCATACTATCCTCTTAGCTACAATACTTATGCATACAATATAGAACATTCAATGATAATGTGCTTTCTAGTTAATATATGGCAAGGTGCTTAACATACATTGTCACTATACTGGAGTTTTTACCATAGCCATCTGTGCAACTGTCAACTTTAAAAGCAGTTCCTAATGGACTGTAGACGTAGATTTCATCAGGAGCTGGAAGTACATGATCAGGAGCAATCTAACAAATGGATAAAACACAAGACACATAAGTAACACCAAAGTAACTGTTGTCCAAAATAAAGCAAGCCAAATGTTGTAAATCACAAAATATTTCTGCGAAAAGTGCATTTAAGGAAAAAAAAATTGGACTACATTAATTTTCTCCCCATGAAAAAAACAGTTGATATGATTTTTAGCTGGATAGCAGAAAAACAGATTTTTCTTCTGCAAAAGGTCTGTAACATACTATGCACAGATCACGGTAGGTCAATGACTGCAGCTCGCTACTCCTTAAATCCTCTTATAGATGGGAGAAATTAGTACATACATCTGGGCAGCCTGGACTACTGTTACAAAATTCAAGCCATTTGTATGTTTTCGTTGGATGGTGAAAGCATTGCACAATAAGTTAAGCGCAACTTGTGATAACACAAGACCTTGTTAAAGCACTCAGTTACTAGATATTTACTTCAAAGCAAGTTGCAGAGCAATTTTCACCCTACCTTTATTTGTGTTTCTTTTTTAAACCTAGGCTGGGGAAGACCCAACATGCCAGAGACCACTCAGTTAATCTGGCCCTGTCTTTGCCTTACCAATGCCCTGTCTGCAGGAGACGTGAGCCTGCTATAGTAATGAATCCGCTTATTCATTGCTGAAGCTTCATCAGTGACTCTTTGCGTGTCATCGTTCACACTGACTATGTTTGTAGGCTCCACATGAAATGGTCTAAATGATGGAAAGAAAAGAAAGAAAAGGAAAACCCTTAAAAACCCTGGAACACAAGAGCTAACATACAATTCGGAGAACAGCTTAGCATCACGCAGGATGAGTCTGTCATTCACTGACACAAAGCAAATGCAAAAATGTCACTGCCATCCATGAAAGAACCATCTGTTTATATCATCCGTACTAAAGTAGTCTCTTGCCCAGGTTCTGCAGGGCAACCTAACATCAAAATTCAGACCTAATATCCAGTCTATTAGTTCTCAACAATGAGTCACGCCAGAACTACATGTTAATAAGCTTCGCCAAGCTTATTAGTGCTTATAACCGGTGTTGCCAGAACTAGTGATGAGGAACAGAGGTACAAAAAGAAAGCATTAGAATGCAGATGCAGAAAGAAGACACAGAAAAAGAGAGGAATGAGCAGTGGTAATGACGGCCACCTATAAAAAGGCTAAAAACTACCAATCTAGACAAAAACACTGTATCAAATTGTGTTTAACCGGGGTGGAATCAAGCCCAAATAAGTCCATGTGCTCATACTATTTCTAAGCCAATGCAACCAGGAATGAATTTTGTCAGAGAACATGGAACAACAGATGTCCATTTGCAGTTCCGAATTACTTCACGACTTCCCTTCAGAATTTAATTAGGGTAGTCACAGAGAACAGGACTGTCAGCAAAACAAGTCCTACATCCCTCACACAAAAGACGTACAGGATGCAGGTGACCTCCCTTCCCTCTTCCCCAGCTGAGTTAGACCGCAGGCATGGACACAGCCACTAAAGGAGAAAACAGCCACATCGAATGCCCCTTGTTTTCTCTGCACACATGTAGGTACAGAGCAAGCAGAGTGAAAGCTGCTCCCAAAGTCACAACACAACATAAATCTAGCTTCCTGCAAGGGGCAATACCAGAGATATGTGACCTAGTCAAGATATTGCAGAGATTTTTTTCTTTAATCAAGTAAAATTTACTTCCATATAGGCATACTATCCTATTGCCTAAATGTGACATTCACTCCTAGCAATGACAAGCTAATTTCTCAGACAAGAGAGGATCTTGGTCACCTGTAAGCCTTGACACAGGGTTTTGGTTTTTTTCTTCCCCCTTTCAGCAGAGCTTTTAATTCCTAAAGCAACCTCAACACCTTTCTGATCTTCTTCTTCTTCCAGGTTGATGTTTAAATCATGCAGAAACAAGAACCACTCCAAAATGAGAACCCACAAAAGTACAGATCACAACAAGTTTCAGGCTACCAAGAGCAGAAATTAGGTCAGAAATAAATCCATGCCATTTTTCCTGTAATATGAGCAAAGCCTATTTGAATTGACTGTTTTTCAATACCCATTTCTGGCTCAGACTACAAAGGAACTTGGTCAACTCCTCCCCCCCCAGCTCTCAATACCATGACAAAGGTCCCATTCTCTTTCCCAGTGAATCATTAAGCATTTGCACCACCTCTTATCTGGAAAAGGAATACAGCTCTGAAGTTGGTGGTTGTATCTTTGTAAGAGACAAAGATAGGTCCTTATATCCTTAGGGGGATACAGCAGGTAAGAGTATTTATGGGTCTAATAAAAACTGACTGACAAAAGTGGAAAACAGAGAAAAATAACTTCCTTCTCCACAAATTCATTCTCTCCCTCATCTCAGACTTCATTAATTCTTACATCTTCCGTCATCATGGAAAAAATGGCTTAGGTTTGCTAAGCCATTTCCCACTTACTGAAATGAAAGTGAATACATTTTTAATTTTTAGAACATTCTCAACTGACCCTTTTTTTCCCGTGTCTATGACATGAAGGGGGAAATCCCCATTTTGTGTGTGGACTTCCGTGGTGTTCTTATAAACAAATAAGACAGATACCACAACAAAACAGGAAAAAATTTTATTACTCAGGACAGAGGCACATGGAGCTAACTAATTCCATAGGTACGTAATGTACAAAAATACTCCTGGACTGTCTGCTCTAAGGGACTTCACTTCTTATAGCTTAAAATTTACTGGTCTGATCCAATCATTGGACACCGCTAAAAAATATTTCATTAGAACACCTGTAAATAAAGACTGTAGTTATGAAAACAGGAAATGTAATATGTTTAAATGCCTCCCCACCCCTAGTCAGCTCTCTGCTGTTTTCTTTTTGGATCACTGACACACACTATATTTAGAACATGAAAAGTATATGTTTTGCTAATTATACAGCAGCTGCATAGTGTGAAGAGCTTCATGAGGACTATTCCCTGTCCCCAGTTAATACTATCAGTACATCCCCATAATCTTCCATTGCTACTGTGGAAAAATTACACTGAGACAAAGTCTACCTTTTGCTTCAAAGTCAGCAGATCTGCAGCAAAGATAGCTTCACAATGGTGTTCAACAACTGCTGACGTGGATGTCAAAGAAAATTTTTCCAGACAGTGGGAGATTATTTTTTAGAGCAATTCCAGTTTAAACCATGGATGAATTTAAAATCAAAGTAATAGAAAACATGAATACAACATCCCACTTTATGGGCAAAGACGTGTTTTTAGTCAATGACCTAACAAATGTCAAGAAAAATGTTCACGTGTAGCAAAAACATATCTATCTGTAGGTAAGAATTTCTTTAGAGAAAGATTTAATTTTCTTCAGTATATGAGCAATCTGGATTGAACAAGTAATTCATGGTCCAGCACAAAACAGACGGGTATGATCCAGAATCTAATTTATGGGTGAGGAAAAAAAATAAATAACCCCAAAGAAATTATATATATCTGTTGCTGCTGCTTCCTGCCTGGAGGGGTGCATATGTTTTACACTGCCAGTACCTGAGCTGCTTCCTCTCTTGATCCCCTCTGGTGAGCATCTGTTGAGAATGAAAATTATCTAAAGCAGCAATTAATTTTCTTTTTCTCATGGTACCACTGCACCTCTGGTCTTACTGAGCAAGTGACTCTATTAAAATAGACTGTCCACCCATCAGTTTTATGTTTGTTAAAGATCTCTTTGAAAACATCAGTCTGACTTGGAAGCTATGTGGGCAGGCTGGGATGCAGTCCTCCTCCCTGATCTCCCCTAGGAGAGGGTACCACTCCCTCTAGGATCAAGGTAATTTCCCAGCCCCCAGCTACACCTAGATCAAAGGCTGGCTGTAGGGCATACTCAGAGAGAAGTCTGAGAAGGTCTCAAAGACTCAAATAAGTTCTCAAAGACTGAGATTTCCAAAGCCCAAAGCAGATAGGATATAGTGTAGGATGTATTTTGGAAAACTCTCTTTAGGGACCTTCAGTCGAGCAGGCAAACACTCTGTACATGCAAGCATCAGCAGCTGCAACAAATTCATAGAAAACATTCTGATTTGTACTGCCAATCACATTATATCTCTCATGTGGCAAAATGATTATGAAAAGGATGTGGGACAATGGGATCTGGGGGCAAGAGGAGAGGCTACTGGAAACTGGACTGGAGGGTGTGACTATTAATGCAAAACACTGCAAACAATCTCCATGCATTGAGATAGACTACAGTGTCCAATGAATTTATTGTACCCATAACAGAAAACACAATTACAATTTATATTTCAATAGCTAGCCTGAAAACAGTGCTCTTTTTAACAGGGCAAACACACCAGTAAAACAGCAGTTTTCCACAGCACAATGAGTATGGACAAGATGCAGGATCTCATGCAAGAGGTCCACACCTTCCATATGCTACATCCCACACATTTCCTTCAGAAACCATTCCCACAAAACCTGCAGCTACATTCATCTGCTAGTTATTTCTTACTCAGGTCCAAACCTCCTCTCATTATGAACTTGGGTAGCAATTTTTGCAAGCAAAGAAAATTAAGAGAGATCCTCACAACTAAAGTTGTTTCCAAATATTGTGTTAGGCAAACTTCAAGTATTAGATTTGGAGGGTTAGGGGGAACAGCCCAACAGGAAAATTTGTTTGGCAAACTACATACAATCTTGCAAGTGTTAGCATCCATTAGGGTGCTACCTCTTTTTCCGGATATTTTCAGAGACGCACTACATCTTGCAGAGATATGAAGCAACATGGCGAATACCCATCTCAAGAAGTTTTAAAATAAATAATGCTGTTTCCTGAGTACCTTTGCTGAAATATGTTTTAAACAGTAAGCAACTGGTTCTGGACATCTGATAAAAAGTAGTGTTCTGAGTACTGAGTTGTTACAATATAATAAGATTTTTTGTGTCAGTGTGTGGCTTTTGGCCCTACATGACAGCATAAATGGCTTCACATTAGGCAAACTTTTCATATTTCAACAAACATGAAGAAAACACCTCTTTACAGGATGTTTAACAATATCTTTCCTCTCCTTTAAAAAGACCATAAGGAGCCTCTTTAGCTAATTGCACAGGTTTGACGAGTGGTGCTCCTCAGGGGTCAGTATCGGGATGAGTGTTCTTTGACACCTTTGTTGGAGATACGGACAGTGGGATCGAGTGCACCTTCAGCAAGTTTGCTGACGACACCAAGCTGTGTTGGGCGGTTGACATGCTGGAGGGAAAGGATGCCACCCAGGGGGACCTGGACAGGCTTGAGAGGTGGGCCCGTGTGGATCTCATGAAGTGCAACAAGGCCAAGTGCAAGGTCCTGCACCTGCACTGGGGCAATCCCAAGCACAAATACAGGCTGGGCAGAGAATGGATTGAGAGCAGCCCTGAAGAGAAGGATTTCAAGGTGCTGGTAGATGAGAAGCTCAAAACGAGCCGGCAATGTGCACCTGCAGCCCTGAAAGCCAACCATATCCTGGGCTGCACCAAAATAAGCATCAGCAGCAGGTCGAAGGAGGTGATTCTGCCCCTCTACTCTGCTCTGGTGAGACTCCACTGGGAGTACTGCATCCAGCTCGAGTCCTCAGCACAGGAAGGAGGACATAGACCTGTTAGAGCAAGTTCAGAGGAGGGCCACGCAGATCAGAGGGCTGGAGCACCTCTCCTATGAGGACAGGCTGAGAGAGTTGGGGCTGGTCAGCCTGGACAAGAGAAGGCTCCAGGGAGACCTTCTAGCGGCCTTCCAGTATTTCAAGGGGGCCTACAGGAGAGACAGGGAAGCACTCTTTCATCAGGGACTGTGGTGACAGGAGGAGGGGTTAACAGTTTTAAACTGAAAGAGGGTAGATTTAGTTAGATATTAGGAAGAAATTTTTTACTGTGAGGGTGGTGAGGCACTGGAACAGGTTGCCCAGAGAAGCTGTGGATGCCCCATCTCTGGAGGTGTTCAAGGCCAGGCTGGATGAGGTTTTGAGCAACCTGGTCTAGTGGGAGGTGTCCCTGTCCATGCCAGGGTGAGGGGGAATTAGGTGATCATTAAGGTCCCTCCCAACTCAAACCATTCTATGATTCTGTGATCTTGTGATTTCTTTGACAACCCATATAAATCAGTTTACTTTTCAGGGATGTGACAAGATTGTTACACAGAAATAGAGTAAATTTCTTATGGCTTTATTGTTTTACTGAGTTGGCAAATTATTACAGGAATGCTGTATATGGCACAGGAGAAACAACAGAGTAAAACTGATCGCTATAGTGGAAATTAAAGTATAGAGAAAAAGTAATAATAAGAATACACTCACAGATTGCTATTTCTTAATTGGAAACTGACTATCTGGATAAGAATATTATAGATGTCAGTACACTTCTCTTAAGGAAACCTGTTTTAAAGAATTCTGACCTGATTTTTACTTTCTAAGCTGCCCAAATTTACATAAGCATTGTAAACAGTATGCTTACAGTTTATCCTACAAGATCTTTATTCTCTTGGCAATACCTTTTACTTAAACTTTTTCCACATTCATATCACCATTGTGATTAAAATGCTGGATGCAGAACCAAAATAACATTTCAGAGCACAAATACTAAGTCACCTCTGTTGCTCACAGGATACACATTTTAACAAATAAATAATCACAAGCTTTAACATGCCATATTTCTAGCACTGTTCCCTCTTCTGTGTCAAAGGTAAGGCTACTCTACTCTTACAAAGAAGTACAAAGGTTCTTAATTAAGAAGGTTCTACTTCTTCCCCGTTAGGAAGCAGTAATATTAGGAATTTGTAAAAATGTTAGCAACACAGAAAAATGAAAAGCAGGCAACGGAGTAAAAAGACCACATGTGTGTGGAGCGGTAAAAGTATAACGCAGAAACTGTAGTTTTGCACAGGTTAGTCCTGACCATTGTCTACCTTTTTGTAAGTTAAAAGAACATTGAAAATAAGATGGAACCAACCACTTTTGCATGAAAAAGGTTTCTCTGACTGCCATCTACAGACACTGTTTAATTTATAAGTGTTTAATTTCACCTACTGATCTCTCTTACAGGGTGTGAGAACACTATGGGAATTCAAAAAGAATAGAAAACTAATGTTTGATCTCCCTTTAGCAGGGGACACTGTCAAGTTTTTTCATATGCAAAACAACCAACACAAAACATCATTTGTTTCTTTGAAGGTTCACCTAATCCTGAAGACAACAGCAGTATCTGTTGACAACAAACAGATTTAAAGAGCAGTTAGAAGAAAATAAGAAAGTCCCTCTCTTGCATACAATAATCATCAATAAGCCATTGCAGCAATAACAGTCTAGTTTTTAAAGGAAGCTAAAAAATGGATAAAATACAGTTAATGTGGTGTGAGTAATTTGGGTCATTGTGAATAACAACAACATCCTCTTTAAGAGGATTAAAAGTGGCTTTGTATTTCCCCTAAACTAGCAACAGACAAAATAATTTACAACTCTAAAAACCAATTAGCTTATTGTTCTTATGTAAACACTGAAAAGCATGCCTTTCAAAAATCCCAAATCCTCCAAGCTCTTAAGAAAACCAAATAACTATGTAAATATCATCAAATCTCAAACAACCTAAACAAAAGAACAGAACTGCAGTAAGAAAGACAAACAGTGATTACACACAAATCACACAAAACATTTCCAAGAGCTATCTTAGTCAAAGCAGAACGGCCACCCAAAAAGTCCTATCAGGCTTCTGAATAGCAGTTTAAAAAAAAGGAGCAAACTAAGCAGAGCAAATCCCCTACTATTGCACTTGCACTGTTTGGTGCTTTTATGCATGATAAACCTCCTTCCCTGGAGCTGTGGCTCCCTAAAGCCACAGGAAGAAGCCTTTCAAACCCCTCACTGCTCTGACCACCCCTGATGCAGGCCCTGATGGCCTGTTCTTCCTCATTCCTTCTTCTAAAGATTGCACCACCTCTTCTAACAAGCAGAGACAGAGTTCTGCCTTGTTCGGCCCCACTACGATTTCCAGGCCTTCCTGATATGCCAGCGTTCATGCCCTTGATCTTTGTGGCTCTGCATGCTTGGAATCAAAAGACTACGTTGTAGAAAATGGGAAAATGAACTTGAGAGGAGCAATAAGGACAAAGTGGACGGATCTGCAAAGCTGGAGGTTGTGGAAGTGGGAACACAATCCGAGTACATGCTTCTGCTTTTGGGGAGGGAACCAAATGCTACATCCAATGACCTTTTATCAAGTCAAGTCTCCCAGCTTAAGAAATCACACGAAAAAACCACACCATGAGGAAACAATACCTAACCTCACATTTGAAAAGCAGATCTTCGCATTTCGATATATCACAAAGGTGTAAACTTCTCTCGCTCCTCAAACACAACATATACTTCCTCCCACACAAGGAGCTTCCAACAGCCATATAAATTAGCAGTCGTCTTAGGCTAGGAGGGCCTCAGACACTCCTTAGAAAGAAGATAAAGCAAGAATTAATTTTGCACATTTCCTTTTCCCACCTGAAAGTACTCTACTGTTTCCTAATCTTTACATACACAATTCTGTAGGCTCCTACATCTGTGCTCTGGTTGTTCCCCTGGGCTCACTCAGACCCTTATCCTCCTTCCTTTGCTTGCAGACAAAAAAGATTGCTTAGCCCCTGGCTAACATGCAAGCAGGCTCTCATGGCTTTCCAAAGCTGCAGGCTGGGACAGTAGCAAAACACTACTCAAGAATTTTTTCCGCTGAAGTGCACCCCAACAACAGGATTTTGTATACGACAGTGCCATCTTCAGTTCCTTCAGGAAAACTGCTCTACTGAAATACAATGCAGGATGCAAAGGGGAAAAAAAAAAAAAAGCCATAAATAGGGTCCAAGAGGCAGAACAGATCTACTCCTTCGTCTAAAAAAGCTGAGCTGGTGCATCCAGCTAGCATAAGAAGGTTAGTTCCCACTCTGATCTCGGTCTTGGTTCTAGGACCAACTCACAGAAACCTTAACTGCAACAACAAAGAAAGTCTCCCACTCCAACCTTCTCTGGGGAATAGAGCTGTTAAACTCTAAGAAAACATGCAAAATAACCACTTAGCTAGATAGGTATAATTTTCACAGGCATGGCAAAAAGGCTGGGCTGCCAAATTTTTTATATTTGCTCAATCTCAAAAAACACTACAGTTTTTTCCTTAAAGGTAGTAAAGGTCGCTCAATCCCCTCAGCAGTAGCAAATAACATATTTTACTAGCCTCACCTGCAGAATGCATATAGAGCCATTCACACACCATCTGACAAGCTTTCTTGCATAGTCTCAACATCTCAGCTTGTTGTGCTAAATGAAAACCATCATGTTTCAGTATACACACATGATACTCAGTGTTTGAAGAGCACTTTAAAAGCCACATGTCAAGTTCTTATCCGAGCACTCTCTCTGAAGTGATGTCTTATCCTTACAAACAAAAGACAATATGAACATCTGTTCACCTGGTGCTTGTAAATAATATCACATAGCAACAAAGTTTTAACATTTTGTTACCAAATGTCAATGTCTTTGTAGGATTCTGTCGCTAAAAGCAAAGATTAAACAAGCCACTGCTATATAGTAATTCTTGTAGGTTCAACCTTCCTTGTACCTTTTGCACTTAAAATCTTCTGGATTAAACTGTATATTCATGATTCCATAAGTGCTTTCATCGCCTCCCACAGGAACCACGAGAGGTTTGGTATCCTCTTCCATATTCAGTGAATGTGCCTCCTTCTTCTAGATTCTGTCAGTTATTCTGATCTAGAAAAAAGGAAATGAGACAACTGCAGTTAAGTAAAACTCTATCCCTGCTACAAATTTAACACTGGCAGAGTCCCACAGCTTCAGAAGCTCCTGGGGTGAAAACCACTATAAAATCCCTTCAACTTGCCACTTCAGAATTCTCATTCCATAAGGCAAACTTCACAGGCCAAGTGCAGCAGGGATGGTATTTTTTACAACACACTATCTATGTAAGTGAAGTGGTCAAAGTACCATTGTGGTCTGAATGACTTTCATCATTGCACCACAACAGGAAATAAAAATTAAAGGAATATGATAGATGCTGTTGCTTATATTGGGACTGAAACAGGTTTGTAAAAGTGAGGCTCAGAATCTGAATCTCCTTTGAGCTACCACAGCTAAGAATCACGTCCACCATGCGCAAATTAACGTTAAGTATATTTGTACATAGGTCTTATCTTCCTGCTTTCAAAGCATGGAACTCCTTTTCTTACTGCTGCACTGTAAAACCAGTGTGATTTTTAAAGGAGCTGTATTTCCAACTTGTAACAGTACAGCTGAGAACAATTTATGACAATTATTAGACACTATTGTTTCACTAAATTACTTCAAACATTGCAACAGACACATAGACAGTTCTCCACTGTATTTCCCAGAATAAAGATCAGATCACTGCTGTTTACCATGTCCAGGCTCTTTGAATTAAAGGCAATGAACGGTTTAATAATGCAATAATAATATGCATTCAGAGCACTCCTGGCCAAACAATGGGGAACAGATCGCTTTTAAGCTAATGGAATTCTACTTGGACTGAATTACAGTCCCCACATGGGACTCACTGCAGTCTGGTGTGCAGCTGAACACATGTAATGGCTTTAACAGCTCTCACCCTGCTACCTCCTGAAGAATTCCTCAGCCAGGACTCCTTCAAATAAAAATGGTAGAAGTACCTGCTCTGTCAGAGGGACTGTTTTCTGATGCTTTAGAATGTTAGACAGGAAAGACAGACGAGAACCAGAGCTGGCACAAGACAAGGAAGGATGGCACTGGATGTTTGAAACCCAGAGTGATGACGGAGGTAGATAAGAGAGAAAGAATAAGATGTGTATTATCCTTCTGCATCCCCATGGAAATACACTGTAAAGGCCCAATCCCAGAAATTACATCAACCTAAAACAAGCACTGACATGGCTCTACCCGTTCCTAGCTGCATGTTGCCAATCCTCTTGCATTAGCTCATCCTGCTAATGCCTCCAGGAAAAAAAAAAAAAAATCTGAAAAAGAGGATGAAAAAGGAAGAAAAGTAGAAAAGTTAGCAGCTTTCAGCCACGCTGACTCTCTGGGGTTCAAACAATTGCTAAAGGAAGATTGGGAAAACACCGAAGGAGCATGTGGAGGGGACTGCAGAAGGACTAAAACTGGCTCAATCTGCTGAGGAAATACATTTTTAGAGGACAGGCACCCATTCTCCCTCCCCGTGCTGGTGTGCATAGCACAGGTAATGGCTCTCTGCTCTTCAGGGGAGGTGACCACTGGAGGCTCCAGTTCATGGAAATGCTAGTGAAAGGCACTAGTCCTGCCCTCCACAGCTCAAGGGCATTTGTGTGAACCCACACTAAACTGCACTGGAAGACTGATCCAGATGAAAACTAACTATTCTTTCTCTTGCTTTAAATCCAATTCAGTGTCGAGCTTGGGGTTTGTTGTCTGGCTGGAAACCCTTGCATGCTCGTGCAAGGGAGGGGATAGTGCATCTGGCAGTGCTTCCAGTTTCCTCCTAGTTTCAGCAATCATGAGAAGATTTGAATGGAATGAAGTTACTAAGTTTAAAGGCACCATTTTGAGTTTAAAGGCATTATTTTCTCTTGTTCATGTCAGCCCTTCGAGAAGACATAATAAGTGACCAGTGATAATAACCAAGGCAATCTTAAGAGGCTTATTTGCACTCCCTGATAGCATCCTCTTTCTCTTGGCACTTCATTTTTGCTGTCACACTCTCTAAAGCTTTTTTCCTCTCTCTGTCCAGAGCCTTTCCAAGATGGGGCTTCTCCTACCTAGCTTAACTTACTGCTTCCTCTCTTCTGCCATTCTAGCCCTTCTATAAACCATCAGTTCATATTCTCTAGTACCCTGAAGTCCTTCCCTTCCACAACACTGCTGCTGGTTCTTTGGCCTCAACTGAACATCTTACATTCTTTCATCCTTCTCAGCTCCTCTGGTGATGCTTTGTTAATTTCCACTCTTCATTTCCTCTCTATTTTCTGTCCCTCTTACATGCTGTCAAAACTGCTTTCCAAATCTGTCTTTACTAAGCACTATTAATGAAGAGATTTTTTAGTTATATAATAAGATATTTATTTCCTTTCATGTGGCACTCTGATCCTTTACAAACCCCATTTGTAGCTCCTCTCCTGTTTGTTTCTTTCCTGTTGATTTCCCTTATTTTTCTACAGCTCTAGGTCACCTCCTTCTTCCTTTCTGATTCCACAGTGCATTTCATTCCTTTTACGCCCTGCACCCTCCCACTGTTAAATTCACCCCAGTGCACACCACCTTCATCCTCCGGCTAAGTACTTCTGAAACAAAAAACACAGGCCCCAGAGATTTCATGCATTTCTAAAGATATCCCCCTACTCCTCTGCTATTCCCATGACAAAACACTTTTTGGGTCCCTCTGACAACACCTGAAGACAGCAGCCTTCGTGGACTTTCAGTTTTTGCCTTTAATTGTCAGTTCTGGACTCCACAGCCTCTTTCCAAGACATCACCAGTGGTCTCAGGTAGAAGACTGCTTATGTGGTATCATCTTCTTTTATCCAATTCTTTTCTCTTTTTCACCTTAACATCTTGCATGCTTTTTCTGAGCAGATACACCTATGTCTCAAAAACAGCTGCCTCATTCTGCATTTTATAACACTCCCTGAGTTTAAATCACACTTTGGATTTAGCCATAAAAATGCAATGAAAATGTAAATTCCTAATGGCTGAGCTGAAATTTAAAATAAATTCAAACCCCAAATACTCAGAAGTGCTTTCAGCCACAATTTTCCAGAAGACTGCAGTACTGAGATCCGTTCCTTCTACAGGCCCTGTTTTATGGTGCAGATTAAGCAGACATTAAATGCTATTTTAAGATATTGCTTTGAACACATCCCTTCCTCAAAACCTGTTGTAAATAATGTATTTGTGCTTTACAATTCAATCTGACAAATGCAGATAACATTGATCACCAGTTTAATTTTCTCTGGACATAAAGAAAAATAATCCTTCCAAAACACAGTATGCACTAAATTTGGCTTGAAAGCATGATTTGGTGTTTATGGAGTTGTTGCTTACTGAGTCTTTAGGGTCTACTTAAAAGCTGGATTGGTAAAGCTTTCTTTTTAAGTGCTTATTGTTGAGAACACATAGGTGAAACTTTTGACCAGCAAATTGATTACTCTACAAATAGATGCAGCTATCATCTATGTAAAGATTGCAGCTGGACAATGTAAAGCTTAAAAGAAAATTGTACACAGAAGAGCGAAATTAAGAATTAACCTGATTAACCCCTCTTTTATCTAATTTCTGCCCCTTTTAGCTGGACTGAATTCTCAATCAACATTTTTAATATATGGGATCGAGCCAGTTGTACTATCTGAACTTACTGCCTGACACTACCATTACAATAACCTCTTCTCAACTGCTTACTTTCCTAGTGTCCTAGTTATCTAAATATTTTTTTATACTGGGTATCTGATCTATGTTCACCTCATTCTAAAGGCTTCTTTTAGAAACCTGTGATACGACATGCAGTATTCTCTCTATGGTCTTAAAACGTGTAATCAGGACTGGGATGTCAAACACAAAGAATTAATGTCAAAAATTAAAAACTGCTTGACAAACTTCACTCTGTTTTTATATTTTATGATACATTGTGGTTAGTTTCCACAAGCCCACTGTTGTATTCAGAAAATCACTACGGATCTCTGGGAACCAATGTATGGCTGCTTGGAAATGGAGAAGGCTGTTTTAAGGACACCTGACCTGTTTGTTGTCAAACTGTATTTTCCTGTAAGTGGGAAAGAGGTTCCTGCTAGCTGTAGTGTACCTGGAGTTGGTGATAGGAATTCACAGTGTTTTGTCTTCAGCAGTGCTGTGAGCTAAAGGCGCGACTCTTCCCTGCAGCTCATTCCCACAGTCTTTTCTCCCTCTATTTGTGATGACACACTTATTGCAGCTGTTCAGGTCTCAGGCTGTGGAGAGTGCCTGAGCCTGTCCCTGCTACAGGAGGGTACCAGAGATACCACCTGTGTGCAGTGTGAGCAGGTGGGTGATCTGCTCAGCCTGGTGGTACAGCTAAAGGAGGAGGTGGAAAGGCTGAGTAGCAGCAGGGATTGTGAGAGGGAGATAGACTGGTGGAGTCACACTCTGCCATCCCTACAAGAAAGGCACCGGGGCAATCCCCTGCAAGGAGTAGCAGATCGTCCACCCTCTCACAGTCAGACAGGAGTAGGGAACCTAAGAGACTGCAAGAGATGGAAACAAGTCCCTGTGTGGGGCAGCAGGTGGACCCCTTCTCAGCCTGTCTCACCTTCCCAGGTGCCCTTACACAATAGGTACGAGGCTCTGGAGCTGGAGGGACAGGGGGATGTGGAGATGGATGAAGGTCCATCCATCCTAGAGGGGTCGTCTGGGATAATTCAGACTGCCCCTCGTATCACCAGGTTATCAATCAAAAAAAAAAAAAGAAGGGCTGTCATCACAGGGGACTCCCTTTTGAAGGGAACCGAGAGCCCAATATGCTGCTTGGACCTGTCCCATAGGGAAGTGTGTTGCCTGACCGGGACCCAGGTGAGAGATGTTGCTAGGAACATCACTCACCTGGTAAGACCCTCCAATTACTACCCTTTACTGGTTTTTCATGTTGGCAATCACAAAATAGGTAAAAGAAGCCCAAGGGCAACCAAAAAGGACTTTAGGGCTCTGGGGAGACTGCTTAAAGGATCAGGAGCACAAGTAGTGTTCTCCTCTCTC